GCAAGCCCTGTCCAGACTTAAAAGGTAACGTAACGCGTTACTTTCCATAAAAAGTAACTAAGTAACGTAATTAGTTACTTTTTCAGTGGAGTAACGCAATATTGTAATCCATTACTTTTAAAAGTAACTTTCCCCAACACTGCACACAACACATACATTAGGCCTACCTCGCACTTATAAATAGAGACCGTCTAATGTATGCTGTAGTTTATAAAAGGTCTTACGTAGGGTGAAGATTAAAAGGATTATGTAGAAGCAGCTTGGTGAATAAAGACGTTTTACTATCAGGAGGACGTGTTCATCTATTCATAACGATATATTCATGAAGCGTTTATTAAGCTAAACGACTTTCCTTCACGGAAGGAAGGTTACCAAGCGTCCGCACGAGTGTTACCTCACATCATTTCGCGCCCATACAGGACGAGTTGTTGTGCAAAAACGGCATTGAATATAAAAGATGGGTCTCAGGAAGGGGTTTGAGTATTATTGACAAGCGCATTCTTGTCGCATCAACACTGCACTTTTGACCTTGTGAAATGTTTACGCACAGATGCGCACGTGCGGCGTTAAATCCCGAGCGCGCTTCCTCTGTTCACCTGTGCGACGAAAACCAGCCCGTCGCAGTGCGTATGAGCTTACATGCATTGGGACTTCATGTGTTATTTCGTGTCTTACTTTGAAGCTGGTGACACGAAGATGCCACTCCAGTGGTCGTTCTCCTTGACAAAACTAGAGCGAGCACGTAAAAGTAGAAGAAGGCGCATAATAACGCGACTCGAAGCTGCAATAGCGAGTAGCGCCCTCTGTTGGTCATGACCTTTCCAACTGTTCGTGATTTACTGGAAGGACTTTAAAAACAATTTCTACCCGATCGAATATTTTAGACCTTGGCATGCCTACAAAATGGCAAAAACCTTTTTTAGGGATTTTAGATTATTTTAACCCCTCTCATTTTTATTACAAATCATTTTAATTAACCTTAAGATCCCCTTTGACGTTTAACGAGGCCCCCTAGTATAGGCCCAGACCCCCCTGGTTCCATATTTACCATTGTTTTACTTTGTGGACTGTTTTGAACATATAGGTAAAAAGAAAAGTTCTAGCCAGGAACCTGCCAAGCAACTGCAGTTGAAATAATCAATAATTTGTTTTTTCATTTTTTGTAGTAGTAGTAGTAGTAGTACAGACCATCCTTCTTAACTCACAAAAGATGTCATTGTCACGCCACTTTATTAATGTTTAAAGACTGCATGACAACCCTGACACATTATCTGTGATTGTACAGATTGCATGAACAGATGAAGTTAACTTAGAAAATGGATGATGCTTTGATAACCACATCAGGGATATCTGCTCAGTGTGAATATCTGCTTAGTGACAGAAAAGTAACATGCGGTTTTTCACTGGGAGGATTTGTACCTTCGGATCATGACTACATTTAGCACTCATGCTTGAGTTTGATAGTGAGAAGGCGCTCAGAGACGGGCCTCATCTCGTATTCATTGCTCTTAAGCAGAGCTTGAAGATCTACGCAGAGATAAAGCGGCCGAGTAATATGTACGTAATGGTGCGAGATGGTCAAGGTCATGTATACAGAAATGCATTTGATCCTGTGGAGCTGATAGCCCTGAGACCCCCACGCAGCCCTGCTCTTATCTTTTTTTTTTTTTTGAAGGAGCCCATATTTCATTATCAGGATACCTATGTGGGCTTCTTCACGCTCAGTAAGCCTGAAAAGGAAGATATTGAACTAAAGACACAGAAATGTTGTTTCACCTTTGATATTTCACACTTGACCCTCAAGATTCAGACATTTTCATAGTTCACTGTTATAATCCCTATATAAATCCCTTTTGACCCATTATCAAAATGCAAAATCCAGTGAAAATGCTATTACGCTTGGCTTACTATTTCAACATTTATAATGTGAATTCAGATCTCCTTTTCCAGCCTGTGAAAATCTGACCACCAGAACTCCAAAAGCTGACCTTGCTGAGAAGGTCATGGGCGTTTATCGATGTGACAACCTCCACCCTCTGCTGTCATTTGTTATGTCTAACAACATTTATTATTTCTCAGCTGTAGACACAACTGGGGCATTTCTTTACAAAAAAAAAGAAAGAATAATAGTTACAATGGCAACAGTTTCTACAAGTGAATTTCAATGAAATTCATGACTGCAGGATAAGGATTTTTTTTTAAATAATTAAATTCCACTTAGAGCAATTTCTAGCTGATTAAATCAATATTTTAGGGCTAAAAATGCAATATTCTTGAAAAGGCCAATATAAAATTTCCATAATTTCATTTTTTTTTCTCCGTGACTGTGGGAACCCTGATTTATTCATTATTAAATATGGGCTGTTCTTGGAACTAAGAATCATTGTTGTTTTACTTTATTCCATTTATTTGTTCGTTCCATGCTGCACTTTATTGTACTAAGAACAATACAATGTTACCAAGGTATTCAGATAGAAACTATGGCTACCATGGCACATTTATACTCGTTTCATGCGGTTTGAAGATTCAAAAGCAGAATGAAGGTCATTTAAGACAAAAAAGGCTCTTGAGAAGGTTCTGTATCAACAGGAAATAAAACATTTTTATTGAACATTTGTGTATATGAAGTTATATAACAACAGTCAGAAACTCCACAGAGTGAATCACTACACAAAGTGAAACGAAATTGTAAAACACCTCATCAAAAATGAAGGTATACACAGCAATATAACTGTCGGCTCGCCGCTGGGGCGAGCAGTATGGCAGGAAAAACACCCCGAACAGTTCTACAAGATTACAGAGAAAATTTCCACACACAAAAACACTCAAGCAGGCAGTTGATATACACAAAGGCAACTAGGATCTCCCTACAGCATCGGATTCTAATTCTTTACACAGCTTTTTCTTGAAAGGTGGCTTTTCGTCGTCGTAGAGTATCGGAAGGTTGTATGCGTATACTGTGCTGACCGATCGGGTTGTTTTTATTTATTTATTTCATTTTTCAAGTTGTCGGGTGCGGTTGTCAGAGCTGTTTGCGTGCTTTGGTAGGCTTCAGTAAAAGATAGCGTTGCTTTGCAGAGCTAGAAATGGCTTTTCAGACTACTTTACAAACCTCTGAGGTGCAACGAGCAATGCTGTCTTCAACTGTACGTCCAGTTCTACACCTAACGTGCAGAGACCTGATAGTACAACAACACCCTTTTGCCGTACGAAACGAGTGTGTCAGTTTGTGACTCTAAAACTGCATTTTTATCCTTGTTTTATAAACAAGCCTCTTGTATTAAGATATCATAAATACTTATATAAACGAGAGTACATATGTAAGTCAGGTAACGTAGTAGTGGAGTAATAATTGTACTTATAGTTGCGATTACACGTTTTGGAGTTCTTCTCTAGGTTCACTCTCTCCGACAGGGTAAGAAATCATATTCGGCTATGAATAAAACACATGAATCAATATTTATTGCAACATTTAAATGAAAGTGCCAACTATACTTGGTCCCACGATAAAAAGTAGAAACAAAACACAGTCCATACTGTACATTCTGAGTTCAATAATAAATATAAAATGGTCTTCAATGGGGCACTAAAGGAACGATAACCAGGTAATAGTCATGAGTGTAATCATAACAGCGATAACAAAATGGTACAGCCAATCATATTTATACTATAGTACAACAGAGAGTTTCCATAACAAGATTGATACAATTCTCTTATATCCAGGTGATCTCAATAATGAGGAAATGATATCAGGACAAATATAAAAATATATATACAACTATTCTGAAAGGGAAGGGTTTTCATATGTATATATATAGTCTCATATTTGGGGTACATCCTATATATATATATATATATATATATATATATATATATATATATACACACGTTTACCCAAATGTTTGGATGGTTAAATCTGTGTGCAGGAAAACTCAATGGGAAAAATGGAGGAATCCTTAACAAGTTTACAGATGTTGAGCTCCAAACTACACACGTGTGCTGTGACCTAACCAGACTACGTTCAATGGATACATCGTCTCGCTGTATAGGGTGCTTTTTTTGTCCCCTACTGAGAGATGCCGCCCATTTAAACACTAGAGAATGAACATACAAGTATTGCACAGTGCTCAACAAAATGCTGTGTGAATTGACCCGCGAGCGCGCGCTCTGTAACAGTTATCGGAAACCGTTGCTCTCTTTCGTACTCTCGCGGTGTGATAGGGGGATGGCAGCACAACGTCACTATAGTACAAGATGGCGGCTACCTACTGAAAACTACAACGCTAAGCACACACCGCAGTCACAGTGATACACAACTCAGTCCCTAAAGACTCCTATGGAATGACGAATAGCTTTTTTTCTCCTTTTATTTTTAAGTAACAGTGCTATTACCTACACAGTAACATTGAAAACACTTAGAAACTCCTCCTAAAGCTAGCATCTAGTGTACACGAGAGGTTCCTCCAAGATAACTCATGGATTTAATGGACTAAACGTCTACTGACCCTCTTGTTAGACCCGTAGTAAAGGACATTAGAATATTATCACCTGTACAGACCATTAACTTTTACGGTTATAGTTAAAGATTCGCTAATGCTCGTGGTGTCCAAACCGGTCGGTGGCCGGTTCGCTTTCTTGCGCTATAGACTGAACGGACTTTTCTCGACAAGCAATTGTCCGTTCCTAGACTGTACAGTGCAAAACAGTAGCCACGGGGGAAGGGATTGGCAGTTAAGCATGGCTAACTCTATTGTCACTGTGAAAAGGCAACAGAAAGCAAAAACTGCTGTTTAGGGCACCATTGTGGCCAAAATACATTGTTCCCCAAAGCTACAGCCACTATCCGAGTGGCGTGTGAGTGGAGGGAGGAGTTGTACCTCCCTGAAAACAATGGCAGTGTTTAAAAGCTCGCCTCTCCTCCTTCCCTCATCATTATCGACTCGTTGGGACCGACCGCTTCAAAAGCTTCCGTCCCACAATGTTTGATTACTTATGATTGAAGGCAAGGGAGTCTCTTGAAAGACGCCCCGGTGTAAATAAATCCCCCCGTTACCCGGCCTTTAGCAAAGATCGTAAAAAAAAATCATGCAGTTACCAAAAATATTCAGACGTTGGCTTAATCTAAAAAATAGTTGTCTTAAAGCTAGAGTCAAAACTCCTGGTTTCCTTTTTTTGGAGGCTGAACAGTAAATTCCTCAACGAAATGAGTCCGACGACGAGAAAAGGAAGCGATTCACAAATTCAAGGTGGCTACAGCTTGAGACTGTGCCATAAATGGTCAATTTACGGTTTCGCGAAGACGCCAAATTAGATTCGATAAGATTCGGGAATTGAAGGATAGAAAACAAGAATGAAGCAAACCGGAAAAGGCTGAAAGAGAAATCAAAAGAAAAGGCTGATTGGTCTTCATCAAGTAAGAAGAATTCCTTCGATTAAAGTGGTTTAAGCGAAGCATACAGGTCCTCAGTTTGATAAATTAGTACAAAAAGTTCTTACGAAATCATGTGCTTGTATAATTGTCAGCAGCATATTATATTTATACCATGAAACCATATTAGTTAATGGCCTTCGTGTTCAGTGTGTGTGTGTTTATCGTGTACGGTACATCTGTAAGCTTTTTTTTTTACGTAAACATGAAGCGCAAACTGTCCTTTACGTGAGTGTGAGTGTACCTCCACTAGCGTTTTGCAGGTTGGAATTCTTTAACTCGTAAATATTTATATAGAGATATATCGTATAATTTAGTGGAATGCAATAAGGTAAAACTCTTAAATCCCGTTATATATAATATTGGCTCTTCTATGCATTTACATAATTTAAAATAGAACATCTTATTAAAAACATCAAGATATACACAGTTTAGGAAACGGGTAACAACATACAAACACATAAACTAGAAATCATTTTCGTCTGCATACTGATATATACACCTGTGGTACAGTACAATAAATTCCTCCAGTCATGCTCTATCTATACAGATCATATTGCTTAAAAGAAGGGGGCATTTGGTCGGGGACTTTTAAGGTCGTGGATGGAGATGAAACAACAAAGGACAGAGAGAGTTTATCGACGGAAGGAAGGAAGGAAGGAAGGGGGCGAGGGGTCGAAACTGACGTAACAACACAACATCTCAATGGGGTGGTCCGAGACACAAAATTAGGAGTGAGGGTGCATGAATCCTTATATCACTGAGGTATTTACACGCACTGGGTAAAGAGCACTACACGGGCAGGTTTTTGGGAAAGGGGGCGGGGGGTTGGTCTCGGGGCTGCTCTATTTTTTCTGAGCTGCCAGCAGGGCATCTATTTCCTCCTCCGGCTTGAGCACGTGCCACTGAGCGATGGGTCTCCTCGGGTTGGCCAGCATATCTGACCAATGACGGATCTCGGTGCCTGTGCTGTTCAAACCCACAAACACTTTGCCGATGGCATCGTTCTTGCCAATCTTGTCATAGTCCAGAACAGTTATAACAACTTGAACTTTCTGTAACAGAAATTAGAGACTTTTTAGAGAATGTTTGTGACTTTCAGTTTATTCGAACATGTGCTTGGTAATAGTAATAATGATAATGATGATGATGCACACTGTCGTTCAAAAGCTTGGGGTCGGTAAGATTTTTTTTCACTGTTTCTGAAAGAAGTCTTATTTATTTGATCAAAAATACAGTGAAAACAATATTATTACAATTTAAAATCACTGTTTTAATATGATTGACTATACATTTTTTATATAGTTTATATATTATATTATGAAAATTGTATTTATTCCTGCAATGTAAAAAAAAAACTGCTTAATATTTTTGTGGAAACTGTGATAAATAATAAATCTTTTGAAACATTATAAAGTTTTTACTTTCACTTCTGATCAATTTAATAAATCCTTGCTAACTAAAAGCATTAATTTCTTTCAAAAAACTCTCACTGACCCCAAACTTTTGAACGGCTACATATGTATAAATATATATAGTAGAGTGTATGTATATAAAAAGGTTTTTATAAATTATGATGCATTTAAAAACAACATTTGAAGAGGCCTTTGACATAACGAATATCTTACAATGGGTTGCTGAGCAACATTGTTTAACAGTGACTGAAAATATACATAGTGGCGCAGTAGTTCACGCCATTGACCATTTTCCCAAATAACACTACAATTATCTCAGTGTGAAGGTCTATTGAAGAAGATGGTCTCTTTGAAGAGCATGGTGGCAGATACCAAAGAAAGGCCAGCGGGTGCCACCAAAGAGGTCCAAACAACTCTGTAAATTGACTGAGAGCACGCAACTAATCGGTGTGAGTTCGGGGTCAATGGCTCGCTCTTAGCTTGCTTACTTAGAGCCCGATCCACCCGTGCAAGAAATGCAAGCAGATTTCACTGACCGGTGAGAACAGGCCTGAGGCCATTGTTCTCGGGAGGCAGAGCTAATTTGCCATATAATGAAATACTGAGGGATGTACAATGAGCGAGGAACTGTTAGTTTGGGATAGCCGCTTTTAGAAACGTCTGCTGCTTGGTGTGAATGGGAAGAGACGAAGGCCTCTCTGGTAAACAGACCCCCAGACACTCTTTGAATGCAAAGCAACTCACTCAAAGCATAAAATGTATCCTCTGAACCGTAAAATGCTAAATCAATTTGAAGCAATTTTACTCTTATTGCACTAGCAAGCATTGCATTCCTTTTATTCTCCAACTAATTAGCAACAAAACGTTTCTAAAAGCCTCACACCGAGCCTTATCGCATTTTACAAGTTACTTTTCATCTGTGGCTTGCCAATTAGTCTCTATACATTTACAACACAGTGTTCGTTCAATTAGTTTTTGACGACAATAATGAAAATGGGAATTAGCATCGGATTTGCTGTTGCCGTATTAGAGCTTGGTTTCAGTACAAGTAACAAAACCAAATTTCATTACCTGGATTTGTTCGAATGGCACTTCGAAACTGAAAGATTCATTGTAGTAAGGGTTAAGGGTGTTCTTTTTGATTGTCGTCTTCTTCTTCTTCAGCCGCTTGCCGTTCTGCATCAGGTGAATCTTGACGTAAGGATCTGATAACACACAAGAATAGGACATGACATGAGAAATCACTCTTTATGACATGCTAGAGCAGTTGCTAAAATCAAGATTTTATATTCAAATCAAGAATGAGGTCTATTCAAAGTCTTGTAAAACCTGGACATATCAGTTTTTCAAATGTCCAGAATTACAGAATTGTATTATTTTAATTTGAATTAAGATAATTACATAATTATTTTAATATACTCCCACTCCTAGTTTCTGCAAATACAAAAGGTTGAAATGAGCAGCTTTGTATTTACAGCAGAAAAAGTTTGAGTACCACTGTACTAGAGTCTCATGTTTTCAGAGCCAGACCGTGTCTTTGTGAATGAAGTCTCAATGACAAGACCATAAGATCAAGACTCTCAACTCATTAGGTGCAAGCTCCAGAAATTGGATAAAACCTCAATCAAATCAAATCAAGTATGGTACCAAATTCTTTATATCAATTAATTAATTCATCTTTTAATCTTTTTAATTTTATTCATATTTTATTTGTACATTTCTCCAAATATCACAAAATAACACTGCATATCAGTGTTACCACCACAGAACAGATCTCTTGCGGTTCGTGTTAGGATAGTACAAGCTTTTACTGACACATGACAGGTGTGTGCCCTCCAGAATCCCAGAGAAAATCTTCCCTGTTACATTACTGCCATTCAGGCACATCAATCTCTGCCAGGGCCTCAAAATACTATCCATCTTGTCTATCATTTTCAGCATCTATATTCTTTTCCTATTATGCATCTCTCATCATCTGTTTACCTCGCCCACTACTGATTCAGACTCACCTTTCTTCAAATCACTTTTTGATGGAAACCTCACAATACAAATAATGAAATATCAAAATAATATCTGATTCTATGTCTAAACATCTTCCTTTTTGAAAAAGGGAGTGAATGTATTTTTTACTGAGACTTAAAGAGGGGTGATGTCACATGCCTTTTTGAGCCTTACAATTAAAAAATGGATATAGCAGCAGTTATTGAGGTGAGAAATCAAAATGGTTGAATTTGACAGACTTAACCATGTTTCAGAATGACCTTGGTTTAAGTTCACTCTTTCTCTCCCTGACACTCTTATATATTTCTTTCTGTCACCATCTCTGCTCTGCTCCAAGAGAGATTTTAAAAAATCTCTGGCATTTTCAATTCCCTCTTCATTTTTCAACTGATCTAAATACATTTTTATCTCTCTAAAAAAATCCAGAGCAGCACATTTCAAATACAGAGAGAGAGAGAGAGAGAGTAACATAGAAGGCATCCTAAACTCTCTGTACCCATACCATATTAGGAGCAGGGCAGCACAAAATCTGTGGCATGCAGTTTTTGAAATTTAGATCTCACAACTTATAAGCTGAGGGTGTGTAAGACATGGTCAGTGTGCATTTATATAAGGAATGTAATAGATAATGTTAAATGTTAAAGACAAAACATGTTAATTTACAGCATTCATTTTAAGTCATGGTGGGAGTCTTTCATTCAATTCACTATCTACTGATTCTGATCTCTCCAGGAAAAAGCTGCATGCAACTGCTCATGTTCAGTTTTGATAGAAATATAATAATAAGAAATGTTTCTTGAGCAGCAAATCAGCATATTAGAATGATTTCTGAAGGATCACGTGACACTGGAGTAATGATGCTGAAAATTCAGCTTTACCATCACATGAATAAATTAGATTTTAAAATATATTCAAATGGAAATAGCCATTTTAAAGTGTAATAATACGTCACAACATTAGTGTTTTGCTGCTATCTATGTTTGCTGCCGTACCAAGTGACAAACAATCATGCATATAGACTTTCTCTTGTAACACTTACAGGTGCATCTCAATAAATTAAAATGTCGTGGAAAAGTTCATTTATTTCAGTAATTCAACTCAAATTGTGAAACTCGTGTATTAAATAAATTCAATGCACACAGACTGAAGTAGTTTAAGTCTTTGGTTCTTTTAATTGTGATGATTTTGGCTCACATTTAACAAAAACCCACCAATTCACTATCTCAACAAATTTGGACAACTGGGCAACAGTCCAGTTCTTCTTCTCCTTAGCCCAGGTGAGACGCCTCTGATGTTGTCTGTGGTTCAGGAGTGGCTTAACAAGAGGAATATGACAACTGTAGCCAAATTCCTTGACACGTCTGTGTGTGGTGGCTCTTGATGCCTTGACCCCAGCCTCAGTCCATTCCTTGTGAAGTTCACTCAAATTCTTGAATTGATTTTGCTTGACAATCCTCATAAGGCTGCGGTTCTCTCGGTTGGTTGTGCATCTTTTTCTTCCACACTTTTTCCTTCCACTCAACTTTCTGTTAACATGCTTGGATACAGCACTCTGTGAACAGCCAGCTTCTTTGGCAATGAATGTTTGTGGCTTACCCTCCTTGTGAAGGGCATCAATGATGGTCTTCTGGACAACTGTCAGATCAGCAGTCTTCCCCATGATTGTGTAGCCTAGTGAACCAAACTGAGAGACCATTTTGAAGGCTCAGGAAACCTTTGCAGGCGTTTTGAGTTGATTAGCTGATCATGTCACCATATTCCAATTTGTTGAGATAGTGAATTGGTGGGTTTTTGTTAAATGTGAGCCAAAATCATCACTATTAAAAGAACCAAAGACTTAAACTACTTCAGTCTGTGTGCATTGAATTTATTTAATACACGAGTTTCACAATTTGAGTTGAATTACAGAAATAAATGAACTTTTCCACGACATTCTAATTTATTGAGATGCACCTGTATATACTATATAATAATCATTTAAAGGTGACATATCATGAAAACGGGAATGTCTTTTCCAGGTTTTAAGTGCTATAATCAGGTCTCCGGTGCATCTACCAACCAAGGAAACATGAAATAGGTTAACCCAGTAACTTTGTTTTGGGGAGTCTTTTTCTGCAAGCGTCTGAGAAAACAAGCGCGTGGAGCCCTTGGTGATGATCATTATAATATTACCGCCCCTTAATCTGTACGTTTACACCCACTGCACAATTTATTCCACAATACAAACTGTCAGAGTCTGGCAAAAACTGGCAAGTAATTGATGCTGAAAGCAATTTTCGCACAGGATCTGATTGATCTGGCAAACGACCAAATAATTCAACAAGCCCAACAATGAAACGCGATAAAGAAGAAAAACAGTGAGAGAGAATGCAGGGACTGAAATGTTTTTCTAGTAAAATCAGTGGAAACACTGAGCGCTTTGTCAAAAAGGTTTATTCCACAATACAAACTGTCAGAGTCTGGCAAAAACTGGCAAGTAATTGATGCTGAAAGCAATTTTCGCACAGGATCTGATTGATCTGGCAAACGACCAAATAATTCAACAAGCCCAACAATGAAACGCGATAGGAGGTTTGGGGGTGTAGTTATCACATCGTGAAAACTATAGTCCTCTAAACGCGAACCCCTAAATAGAACTGTTAATGGTGTTAATTTCAGCAGCGTGTTGGAGTACCTGATGAAACGTGACTGACAGTTTATAGCCAGCTTTAATCTAGATTGCCAATGGACCAGTGAGAGAGCGAGAAAGTTTGTTCTAGGCTGTGCTGCTAATAGCTGTTCTTCTCTCTCTGAGTGATGAGAACTAAACGTCAGGCCTCTTGGCTCCCAGCAGGTGGGTCTGGTACTGATGGCCTATCCGCCTCTCTGACAGCAGGGCGAGACGGACTAGGTGCGAGAGAACCGGTGAGGGAGGTGGACAAGTATGGATGGATAAGACCGGGGCTGTTTTTCATAAGTGGTTATGGCACAGATGAGGACTGATTTCTGAATGCCGAGCTGTAAAATTACTCAGCGAAAATTTATTCATGTATTCCCCAGAGCCGAATATTACATCAGCTGATAAAGCACAGCTCTCCGCACAGCCTTAGGTTCAGAAAGTGTCGGATCATTTCAAGCCACATTTCTACGCCCTTGGGATTTGTAGCTGTGAATGACTGTATATGCATTACATGATTTTAAAAGTGAAAGATATACTAAAAATGACTTTGGATTTACATACAGACAACCTTGTGGAGCAATGAGAAAATGAAAGGGTTTTGAAATAGTGTTAAAAACAACATGAAAACAGCATTCACAACACAAAATGCATCTTTCTTAGTGTATTCAGCTGAAAAATGATGTGAGGTGGGAATTTGACTGGATGCAAACATGTTAGGCTACGATATTATTGCAATATTTTAAGATTTTTCCCTGCCTGCATCGTCTTGGTTACATAAGTAGAACAATTATGATGTTTTAAAGAACGATTATGAAAAACATTTGATGTCTTTATGATAATATGCACTATATAATCAGCAACATATATATATATATATATATATATAGTTTTCTCCTATATCATTATATATGAGTCATAAAAGACTGATGTATCAAACATAACAAAAAAAACATGCAAACTTTAAAAAAAATATTAATACACAATTGAATTGTCATGCTGACAGCTGGCAACAAGAGATACTGTCTTGAACTGTCACATAATGGCACAACCTTTGTGCCAGTGTCCAGCTGACAGTGTGACTCAGTAATTGGACTCACCTGACAGGCCACCAACATCCATCTTCTTCAGGTTCTTGGCCTCCAGAATGACCACGGTCAGTTTGCCAGCAGTGGGCACATACCGCAGAGACAAACAGATGTCACCCAGCTTCTCTTGCTGTGAGTGGCAGAGAAAATTTCAATCAGGGACATCATTAACAAAGTAAGCAGAAAAAATTTACCTAAAAACCTGGTCAAATTTATTCAAGAGAAAATGAATTGAGGAGCATGGCATTTGTATTTTTTAAAATCTGATTAATTTTCCACAAATGTAGCTCCAACGGTAAACACACTGAAAATACATTTACACGTACGCACATTCCATTTATATTTCAGGAGCCATTCTAATAAACATGGACACAAACACATGTGACATATAGAAAACAACAGGAAGGGGGAAAAGGTTACATCACTTTACTTTCAACTGGCTGATGCCATTTCCACACAATCAATTTTCTGTCAATTAAAAGGTCATCAGAATGGAAAAATAACATTTCATACTGTAGCTTAATTAAATGAGTCCTACACGGTAAATAAGTTGAATCAACTGCCAAGAATTTTTTCTTCTTCTTTTTTTTGCAATTGTGTAGTGGAAAAAAAAAAGAGCAAAGAGGACCCAACTGGATGGAATTGCGAGACGCTACGGCATTTCGCAGTCGATTTTCATTTAGTTTTTTACAGGCACATAAAAGTGCCACCCTCAGGACACCACTCACAAAGGGATTCTTTGAATAAAGTCAATACTCTCCAGCTTCCTCAAGCGGTGTTTGAAGTGCTCCGCTAGCTCATCGGACATGGAGTGTAACAGCTGCACAAACTCAAAGAGCAACCTTCAACGTATGTAGATAGCCTTCATCTCTCTGCCCTCAGCAGGCTTTTGACAGCGTCATAATGAACCTTTACACCAAGGAACCGTGGCACAAAAACAAGGTTCCCACAAAAACCACGGCTTAAATGCTTTATTCCATGACATTTACCATGAAAATTGAATCTCCGCAACCACTTCTTGGAAAGTCACACTTTTTTATTAATAAAAATGTGGCACGACCCAGCTGATTAACTGACATTTCCATTGAAGATGGATAGCCCTGAAGTCTAGCACTTGTACAGTGAGTAAATTTCCGTGCAGCTGACGAACCTGAAGAACATGCCAAAAGCCATTTGTCTGCATCTCTCAGTGGAGTATAGAATCTAGTTTTGATTGTGTACAGCATTTAAGTGTTTTTACCAAATCTTGTAAAGGTGCACATTTTTTTCTCATTTAAAAAAAAAAAAACATTTATATTTAAATAAAAAAATATAGATTTTACTATGTTCAAAATCTGTGAAGATGTATCATTTGAGTAGCCTAATACAAATTCTTTCATTTTACACAAACAGGGTCTGCAAATGGGGGATGCCACGTTGAGATCACGTCTAGAAAAACAAAAACCAAAAAGATTTTGACTCACTCACTTAGGAGTTGCTACCAACTGGTATAAAGTGTTAACTTATCCAGATCAGCAAACAAATCTGAATGTGAATGATTTTTTTTTTTGTGTGTGAATGTATTGAAAAGATTCTAGGAAGAATCACTACTAGTGAACAACTCAACTGGCAAACTTTCCACTTGTGCTCCAGAAGGTCAGGCAATAAAGATGGAATATGCACTCAAATGCTAAGATTTAATCACATTACCAGAAAACAGGTTATTGCCACCCATGTTAGCTTTTTACCTCTTCTTTCTCAGCACTCTGGAGGTCCCTCCACTCTTCAGTCACATGACTAAAGTCGACCTTATTCATAGGCACCTTCACGTCTCCAATGGCGTCATGTTTGGAGAAGCGGTCAAAGTCATATACCGTCATCACCAGAGTTTTCCCTCCAAGCTCAGTGTAGGGAACCTGCAGGATAAGAGGGGTGAAATTAACTGCATGCATACCTACCAGTCTAATCTCTCTAAATTCCAGTTATAGGACTTATCTAACGCTGAGATGCTGGGATGAAACTATAAGACAACTGCGTGTGCGCACGAGAAAGAGAGAGAGATTTGATTCTTGGTTACCTCCAATTGAGCTGTTTTTCAGACAAAACTCATTATCCCAAAGGACTTGTTCCAACATGGCGACAAACTGCTTGATTGGCCGGGAAAGAGATAAGACCCAAGGGTTGCTATTGTGTCCTTGACGCTATCACACACACCAGCTCTCAAGTTTCTTCATTTCAATAATGAAGGCACTTGTGATTACATGTCAGAGCTCTGTGGCTATCTCTCTCAATGTTGGCATGTGGCACATTTCTTGTTCTCAAGGTACCTTGTCATAGTTGAAATTGCGCTAGGCTAAACAAGAACCAAACATGCAAACAGTCCTTTACCCCCCCTTGGTTGAATCAGTTATATTTTTGCAATTCTTTTAAGAATTCAACACTTCACTTAGCAATTTAATAGAAGTCTAGAGGTCTGACTGCGGTAATTACACAAAAAGGTCTTTCTAGCTGCATGACGTCTCATAAAAACGAATCGGAAAGCTCTACTGAACATTCAAAATAGAAATGATACTACTTTCCGGATGACAGACACCTGCAGGAGTCCATCTGCATGTTTACATGTAATTACTCCAACGCCTCATGCCACTTACTGTCTTGTTAATACGCCAGAGGAAGTAGTCAGAAATAACTTGATAAACTGTATGAGTAGAATGCAAACGCATGGATCCAATGAGAAATTGCTTGTTATAATATAACGCTATTAGGTTTGTGACCTACCTTAAAGGTGAATTGCTCATTGAAAACAGGATTCAATGTCTTCCGGTGGACCTTGGTCTCAAATTTCTTCTTCTTGTCTGGAAGAAGGTAGACCTTTACATAGGGGTCAGAAGTGCCACCCATATCCATGGCAGGCAGCTCTGCTGCTTGGATGATCCCCACTATGAACTATGAAGGGTCAAAAGTCAAAGTTAAAGAGATCATGAGTAAGACTTCGAAGAGGAGTGTAGTCTTTGTCTGAACCATCACCCCACCACCATTCTGTAGGAGTTCACTGTAGTGCTGGTCAGATTTATATGAAGACAGTTGGTCTTCTTTTTCCAAAGCACCAAGATATGCTGTCTAACATCAGTCCTACACATTCACGTAGACTAAATGTATCAGGGACTTTCCATAAAGCAGTTTTTTTTCTCCAGCTTTTCTGGTGACTTTCAAGCTTTCAAACAGTGTTGTTATTGTTAACTAAAACTATTCAAAAACATTTCCAGTTATTGTAATAAAGTTGACATTAAAACATAAATATCAGAGGAAAATGAAAAGTATTAGAAATGTTGCCTTTGAAACGAAATGAAATAAGTTAAAATTAATAAAAATAACAATAGAAAACCTTAATAAAAATAACGAAAACACAAAATATGAATACTGTAAATACCACAACAGTACATAAGTAATACTAAAATGACACTATATTCAAATAATAGGTGTGGTTCTTATTTCACATTGGTAGGTTTTTTCGCCATTGAATTTTTTTCCCAAGGTTTGGTGGATGTGTCTTCACTTTTTGAGAAATTTTACTCTCAAAATTAGTAACTAGCACACACGGAAAATGTTTCAACTACCTTCTGATAAATCTGATGAGGTTTACTGTGAATCAACTGGTTTGTATTTGACTTCACCTGTTCACTTCCTTTTATGGGTGGTACTATAGTAAATCAGTCTTGAGAGTATCTGCTTATTTAAATGAAAAGCCACCGAGAGGTCAGTTATAGTTATGATGCTGAGGTGCATCCTTCAGGCCCAGACTGCATTACTCTTTAAACAGTCCCAGCATTAAGGAGGCGATGGGGTCAGGCCATGTCAAGCGTGGCGCTGCTGATCCTATCTCCCCATCGGCTCTGATAATTGATTGGCCGGCTGGCTGGGCTGAGGTCCTGATTGACCTGCCAGTCACCATATCCCCTGCATGGCCTCATGGGTCCTAGAGTCAGTCAATCAAGCTCCCATCAGCTTCCCATAAAACGCCCCGTCTCTGTGTCAACACAGGCACTTCTCTCTCACTCTGACCAGCTGTCACACTTCGGTTGTGCTGCCACGGGAAGGACTGCAGTCAGTGACGAGCTTTGCCAGTGTTTCTGGTTTAGATGATGGCCACCAGAGAACCCTGTGATTGTGATGTGATTTTTTTTGACAAAGGAACTATAAAGATTTTAATATCCTGTCAGGCTGTAGTAATGTTTGAATTTATTTATTTTTTCATTAAATGGTGGTGGGTTTCAGGTCTGGACAGTTTTATTGCTTCACATTGTAATCTTGGATGAAAAAAAGCACATGTTGTGGCTTCAAGAAAGAAACACCCCCACAAACACTGTTCTAACACAGACACAACCAAACAGGAAGAGAAACATCTCTATTTTGAAAGAAACTGTTACAAAATAGAAAATGCTCCAAAAATAATGCCCATCGCTCCTAATGATTGACAAAATAAGAGTCCTTATTTATTTATTTATTTTAATAAACAGTTCTCTTTTGTCAGTCATGCTGAAATATGACCATTAACTTTGTGAGAACTGCGGAATTATATTTTAATATATATACTGATTCCAGTTTTTAGCATTTCATACTTCACAGGAGAATACTTAGATGTCAGCTAGATTTTGACTCCAGATTCATATCTTGACATGTTAGCAATAAGAAATTCAATATCTAGATAATAATAAATAAAGTGGAATTTCTAATTAAATGTAAAGTTCACCCAACTTCACCCTTTAGAGCACCTCAACATAACCCAATTGTAACACTTATTTCAAGATATTTGATATTAATGCTATTGTTGTGACATATCAAATAATGTTTCCGGTTCCAAGCCTCCAACTCCATTAAGATTGAGAATACTATCTCAACTACCTAATTTATTTCTAGCACACATTTAAGCTGAGCTTTTAAAAACTCACAGTGTACACTACAGTCTCTGAACTCAGTGTTCCTGACACCAAAAATGTATTGATTCAGAAAAGATGAATCACTGTCTGGCCAACTGAGATTTTGGTATGGAAATAAAAGTTAGGATCATGATTTTTCAGTAGTATTACAGCATGCTGTAAATATTAGCACCATTTTTTGTTTGTTTTTGTGATCTGATATAGAGTTTGGACATGAAAACAATGACACGTGGCATCAGACTCACAGTAAATAGAGTATTGTTCATATCACGTTGACCTAAAGTTGTGGTTGCCATTGTTCGCTGAATTTTGGCAGGTGAGATCAATTCATTTCAAAAGGAATCTGCACAAAGTTTTGCGTGATGGCAAAAGATTTCCCCAAGCAGATTTCACAGCAGGTTCAAATTGGTCACATAAATTTGCAGCGTTGAGCAAAAGATTGGTTTGGTTTGAAAAGTGACTTTTAGGGGGTTCGGTTTGTATGACGGTTTTAGAGTCACGGTTCGGTATGTGCTATGTTTAGGGAAAAACTATACTGTCAAATAAAAATAAAGAAAATAAGAATAGTCTATCTAACTACAAGCAACAGCACAAATAAATACAATAGATTAAAGATACAAATAAAATTAACAGTGATTTTCAGTTTTTTTTAGGTAGGTCTAGCATTATTTTTTTAGGTACAGAAATTGAATAAAGTAATGAAATGTAAAACAGCATTGCATATTTCACTGTATAAATTAAAGATGAATCTTTATTAAAGTTACAAAAGCTATTCAATCAAGAGCAGTGAGTGAATTCTTTGTTGTTGCTGTTTGATTAATATTAAGAAAGTGCTGTCACTTTAAGAGAATCCACTGATACAGTACGTTCAGCCGGCTATGTCTGCTATAGGATACTTACCAAGACAGGCATTTGGGCATAATTTTTGTGTAAATTTGTCCATTTAAATGCAATACTTCAGAGAGAGCTTAATATTTGTGCGCAGGGCCTAAAATTAACACTCGCCAAGCACCAAATGCGAGTAAAAATCAGCGTTGGCGAGTCCATGTAACAGTGTCAGTCGCCAGTTGGCGGGTACAACTTTTACGAATTATAGCAATGTAATGAAATGAAAACAACAGCCAGTTTTGAAAGAGATTAGCTGTTTTTGACAAGCGAATAAAATAATCTTTTCCGCAGACAAGATCCTCGTGATTAGCTGTTCTGTCATAAGCGACAAGAGCGAATCGAATAATAGGATACAAACAGACTGATAAGGTCAGAGCCGTGTGATGGCCAGCTTGTCCCTATAGACATGGTTCCCTTTCATGGGAACTTCGAACTGCGTCCTCTAGGGGTCGCTATGGGGAACGCCTCATCGTGACCCGTGTCTGAAGCATACATTGAAAAAAACACCAACTCGTTGGCCGGCGACAGCCATGACGTCACTACCGGTGAGTCGCACCGGTAGTGACGTCATGGCTGTCGCCGGCCAACGAGTTGTGTTTTTTTCAATGTATGCTTCAGACACGGGTCACGACGAGGCGTTCCCCATAGCGACCCCTAGAGGACGCAGTGTCTCGTTCCCTACTCAGGGAACCATGGTTACATAAGTAACCCGAGACGTTTTCTAATAACTTTTACCTGAGAAGATATTGCTGCTTCATTTCGGAAGATTAACTTTTCCCTTCTTTATTCTTCATAACCCGAGAATGCGGCGACACATACCTGGGGTTACGCCGCCTAAACGGTGCAGTGAAGTATAGTTTGAAAGGCTGCTCATTCGGCTGTACACAGACGCTGAGCCACTTCAGAAAGCTCACCAGTAGTGCTTCAATGCACGAAAAAACACACAATTATGTCAAAATGCACGGTTTTGGCGAGTTACCTTGTAAACTTGTCTTAAATTAGCTATAAAGTCTTAAATGACCATAAAGAGTTGGGAAAAAATCGGATATGTGTCAGATCCGCGTCATATGCATCAGGTTTTAAAGAGACAGCGCTGATTTTAAAGTGAAACCTGCTGAAGTCAAAAGAAAAAAAAAACTTGGACTGTTCTAGTCGCTGATTAACTTTTATATCTTGAATAACGATTAATCCGTATAGTTTATGCATAATATAGTTTATGTGAAGATTGTTTTAAAATCACTTAAATTAAAAGTTGTTATATATTTCAGAGCCTATTAAATGTTAAAAATAATGGCTTTCAATTATACTGTAATGTTGAATGGCTATAATTAATAGGTAAAATTGAGGGAAAATGCGCCAGCAGGACAAATTAAAAACATTGTAAATATGTTTCTTTATTGTAGTAGTAATAACTGCCTGTTTTTGCAAAAATAATTTCATGGCCGGTAAAAAAAAATTTGGGCCGGTAAATTTTACCATGTCACCGGCCATTGGCAGGTGTGGCAAAAAGTTAGTTTTAGGCCCTGTTTGCGCGCGTCCTGAGGCGCGGGTTTGCACGCTTTGGATGAGCGCATGCACAAATCTTCTCACTGTGCGCGCGAGCTCGCGTCCTCTCGCTCTTAAATGTTTAAACTGGCAAAGCTTACATGAGTTTAGTTTAAACACAGATATCAATGTGTGCTGTTCAGGTCTCACACGTGTGCGCGCACTATCAGCACCCCGGGTGATGACGGAAAAAATGGCTGCTCATATTCCAGCATACGGCATTCGGATTGAACAAGAGTGAATGGTTTGTCCACGGTTTTTTTTTCATCGCTGTTGTTGTAATGTACTGGGAAGCCAGAATGCGCATCCATCAACAGAAACATACATTAGCCGAACCGTGTTTGTTTTACGTGTTATTTATAGCAAACCATATTACAGATGCGTTGTCAGATTTAAGTTGAACCGCGGTCCTAGCATGTGCCGAACCGTGTGTCCTAGCATGTGCCGAACCGTGTGT